ACACACCTGTGCAAACAGAAGCAGAACATTATCAGCACGTCTAAGACCCCGCTGTGTCCCTTCTCAGTCACTACTCCACTACCACAGTGCTAATCAACACCAAAAAGCTGCTTTTGCAGCTTTTAAAACTTTGTGTAGAAGGAAAAGCTGTCAGGCTCATTCCCCTGAACACTGCATGGTGAGATTTATCATCTCCTTGTACGTGGTCGTTATTTTCCTTGGTGGATAACATCCTATTGTATGGATTTTAATCTATTCTGCTGTTTAAATGGGGAGCTCTAGTTTAGAAATACGATAAACAGCATTCTTGTGAATACTCTTGTTCCTTTTCTGTTGAAAACAGACCAGGATGGAATCGGCATTCTGAGGGATTCGGTGCAAGATTTTTTTTTCTACCTATCACAAAAGGTCTCACAGAAAATTTACAAAAAAAATTATCACAAAAATTTACATTTTCAAAATGACTGCTGCAATTTTCCATGAGCTTTAAAGATCATATAATTTTGTATCATTGCAGGGACATATAATTTCTTAAGGAAATTAGCGAATCATTTCTTGAGTTATTCTGGAATTTTCTATAGGTACAGTGTCCAATGTGATAACCACTAGATATACAAGGCTGTTGAGCTCCTGAAATGTGTGAAAATGTGAAAAAAAAACCAGACTTCTAAGGCTTAACGCCAAGAATGTGTCTCAGTTTTTAAGGAGGATTATCCTCCCAGTGCTTTGTACTTTCAATACTGGTACATTGTTACCAGCACATCCTTCATATTCAACAAGCACTTCTTAACTGTTTTATAAACTTCGTTATTTGTTTTTAAGTTAAACTTCCATGTTGTTTACATTGTACATGATAATATTCCTAAAAGAGCAAGAAAAGATAGCAAAGATTTGTATGAAACTGAAGGAGTAATAATTGGGTATGAAAAATATTAGTTGAGAAAATTTTTGTATTTCTTTCATCAAAAACAACTTTCTTGAATTATAATTCCTTATTCTGTAGATTAATATGATTTGTTATTCTTAGTGTAGAATATGTACTGATAACATCTTTTTTAATCTCAAATTACATTTATTGATCTAATTATTTTACTCACATTGGAAAGCCACAAAATCCTCAACTTTTTGGCCAACTGATATAAAGGCTGGAATTATCCAGAAAAAAATTAGAGGTCATTACATTTTCTTGAATATTCATTGAAGCTGGACATGGTGACAAATACTTGCAACCCCAGCTACTCAGAAGGTGGAAGGAGAAGGATTGTGAGTTTGAAGCCAGCCCAGGTTTGAGATCTTATCTTCAAAACAAAATACAAAGGAAAGACCTGGGGGTGCTGCTGGAGTGGTAGAGCACTTGTATAACAAACACGGGCCTTAGTTTCAATCTCACCATGACATCCTTAAAGACTGGATTTATTTTTAAATGAACAAAACTTTTAGTTGTTTAGGTAATCTATTTTCCTTCTTCCTGGCTGGTAGGATACAGAGAAATACTAACTGTTTAGTCACAACAGAAAAGCACACTACAGTGTCACTGTTGGTCGTTCATCATTCACCTCATTGTATACTGTCTGACTCAAGAACTGTCACTACCGCCAAAGGCAGAAATAGCTAGGCCTTGCTCAGAGAATTGCTAAGTATGATTTATTTTCTTTCTTTCTCTCTCTCTCTCTCTCTCTCTTTCTTTCTTTTTCTTTTTTTGCAGTACTGGGCTCGAACTCAGGGCCTACACCTTGAGCCACTCCACCAGTCTTTTTCTGTTTTTTTTTTTTTTTTTTTTTTTTTATTCACATGTGCATACAAGGCTTGGGTCATTTCTCCCCCTGCCCCCACCCCCTCCCTTACCACCCACCCTGCCCCCTTCCTCTCCCTCCCACCCCCTCAATACCCAGCAGAAACTATTTTGCCCTTAGCTCTAATTTTGTTGTAGAGAGAGTATAAGCAATCATAGGAAGGAACAAGGGTTTTTGCTGGTTGAGATAAGGATAGCTATTCAGGGAGTTGACTCACATTAATTTCCTGTGCATGTGTGTTACCTTCTAGGTTAATTCTTCTTGATCTAACCTTTTCTCAGTTCCTGGTCCCCTTTTCCTATTGGTCTCAGTTGCTTTTAAGGTATCTGCTTTAGTTTCTCTGCGTTAAGGGCAACAAATGTTAGCTAATATTTTAGGTGTCTTACCTATCCTCACCCCTCCCTTGTGTGCTCTCGCTTTTATCATGTGCCCTTGATCTAATGTCCACATATGAGGGAGAACATACGATTTTTGGTCTTTTGGGCCAGGCTAACCTCACTCAGAATGATGTTCTCCAATTCCATCCATTTTCCAGCAAATGATAACATTTCGTTCTTCTTCATGGCTGCATAAAATTCCATTGTGAATAGATACCACATTTTCTTTTTTTTTTTTTTATTGTTTTATTATTCATATGTGCATACAAGGCTTGGGTCATTTCTCCCCCCTGCCCCCACCCCCTCCCTTACCACTCACCCACCCCCTCCCTCTGCCCCCCCCTCCCTCTGCCCCCCCCCCCCGCCCCCTCAATATTCAGCAGAAACTATTTTGCCCTTATCTCTAATTTTGTTGAGGAGAGAGTATAAGCAATCATAGGAAGGAACAAAGGTTTTTGCTGGTTGAGATAAGGATAGCTATACAGGGAGTTGACTCACATTAATTTCCTGTGTGTGTGTGTTACCTTCTAGGTTAATTATTTTTGATCTAACCTTTTCTCCAGTTCCTGGTCCCCTATTCCTATTGGCTTTAGTTGCTTTTAAGGTATCTGCTTTAGTTTCTCTGCGTTAAGGGCAACAAATGTTAGCTAATTTTTTAGGTGTTTTACCTATCCTCACCCCTCTTTTGTGTGCTAAAGCTTTTATCATGTGCTCAAAGTCCAATCCCCTTGTTGTGTTTGCCCTTGATCTAATGTCCACATATGAGGGAGAACATACGATTTTTGGTCTTTTGGGCCAGGCTAACCTCACTCAGAATGATGTTCTCCAATTCTATCCATTTACCAGTGAATGATAACATTTCATTCTTTTTCATGGCTGCATAAAATTCCATTGTGTATAGATACCACATTTTCTTGATCCATTCAGGCTAACCTCACTCAGAATGATGTTCTCCAATTCTATCCATTTACCAGTGAATGATAACATTTCGTTCTTCTTCATGGCTGCATAAAATTCCATTGTGTATAGATACCACATTTTCTTGATCCATTCATCAGTGGTGGGGCATCTTGGCTGTTTCCATAGCTTGGCTATTTTGAATAGTGCCGCAATAAACATGGGTGTGCAGGTGCCTCTGGAGTAACCTGTGTCACAGTCTTTTGGGTATATCCCCAAGAGTGGTATTGCTGGATCAAATGGTAGATCCATGTCTAGCTTTTTAAGTAGCCTCCAAATTTTTTTCCAGAGTGGTTGTACTAGTTTACATTCCCACCAACAGTGTAAGAGGGTTCTTTTTCCCCACATCCTCGCCAACACCTGTTGTAGGTGGTGTTGCTAATGATGGCTATTCTAACAGGGGTGAGGTGGAATCTTAGCATGGTTTTAATTTGCATTTCCTTTATTGCTGGAGATTCCACTAGTCTTTTTTTTTGTGATGATGCTTCCCCACTCCCCTCCAGGTAGGGTCTTGGCAGACTATATTCCCTGAACTGGCTTCCAACTGCAATCCTTTCGATCTCTGCCTCCTGAGTAGGTAGGATTACAGGTGTGAGCCACTGGGTGCCCAGCTGGCCATATTTTTCTTAAATTATAATTTTGTGTTACATAGCCCCAGAGAGATAGCTTTCTGTTGGTGAGGCCTTTAAGGATCTTGCAATTACCTTAATCTTCATCTGACAGGAGAAATTTAGAATTCCAACTCTGTTGAAGGTTACAGAACAGAGACTCATTCACAGTCACACCCCTGTGGTGCACGTTGCCTATAAAAGGGTCACTAGGGCGCAGCTTGGAAAGCAGATCCAGGGCAGTCCTAGGGACCTGGATACTTGCACACCCCTGGGAAGCAGCCTGTGTTGTCCTCCTTACATCCCAGCCTCCCCTTCTCTTAGACTCTTGGTTTCTGTCAGTCATTGCATTGCTTTCTTGGAAAGCCCATTTTGGCCCCTTTCTGTCAGATGGCTGGGTTTTCTATATTCTCATTTTCATTTTCCAAAAGAGACTTTGATTGGCTTGCTAATTAAGGGTTTCATCAGAGAGTTATAACCTAATCTCTAATTATCACCTTGTTTGCTGTTACTTCACCGCTACTTGATGGATTGGTCACATGATCACTCTTAAATCAATCACCCAGGTGTGGGGAGAGGACCTTTTTTTGCAGTTACTTGTGCAGCTCCTTCTCTAGGGAGAATTTGGGTCAGCTTTTCTTTCCAAAACTCTGGGTACAGCAAGCATATCACGCACACACACACCCAACCAACAAAAGTGACTAAAATAAAGGAGTATGAATAAGTAGAAATATGAAGTTAGATACAGGAAGAAACCTACACCCATCCAAAATCAAGAATTAGCAAATAAAATTTCTTTGCAGAAGAACAAACTGGCTTTCAGGAATGTACTTTATTTTGCAAATCAAATCATTTCTCCTTAGTTTTCTGGAGGTTCCCGCTCCGGGCATACAGAATCAACAGGAATCATGGTTTTCCTAGGAGACCTCACTACTCTACACGTTGGGGGCGCTTTGTATCTTCTGTTGGGAGAGAAGTCCTGGTAGGAAATCAAGAACCGGAATTGGTTGCAGGGGTTTGCCGGGTGGCTCTGAAGCGTGCGGATGAAAGCGGGGCTGCAATCGTAGCTCTGGGTCAGGGTTCTGCAGGTCCGGGACGCTCGGCCACCTGTCCAGAGACTGCGGGCTCCGCGGTAGCCTCTTCGGCTCTTGACTCCCCACAGGCGGTCCCCGTGCGAGTGGGCGGCCCCTTCGCAGGCGCAGCCACTCTTCCTTCCCCGCCCCCTGCTCCTCCTCCGCCTTTATAGCAGGTTTATCCTTCGCCTCGGCCACTTCCTTCTTCTCCTCTTCCTCCCCAGTGCACTGAAGCCACTCGGGTGCCCACGGACGCTAGCTCTTCATTGCAAAGGAGAAGAAGGCGGGGAGGTGAGTGCGTCCCTGGGACAATGTGGCAAGGTAGAAGGATGGATAGGAGTGTCCGCGGACATCGAGCAGCCGGGGGCGGGGTGGGGGTGGGACAGAGGGAATCCGGGACCGCGAGGAGACTCAGGTGGGCGCAGGTGATGAGTGGCGAGGTCCGACCCCGCGCAGGGTGGGGCCGGTGGCCGCGCGCCTCCCACGCCCGCACTTGTCCCGCACACTTCCGCACTCGGCTCACGTGACGTTTGCCGGCTGGGGGCGGACAGGGAAGCGAGAAGCGGTGGAATGGGTTTTTTTTGGTTTTTTTTACCGCGGTGCTACGTGTCGCTTTTGCACTTGGCGGTGGGTCGCGTGCCAGTTCTGCAGAGCTGGGTGAGGATGGGCGAGGGGCGAGGGAGAGGCCGTCCTGAGAAATTTGATGGTCTCCGGGCAGTGCCCTCTGCAGTGCTCGAGATAGGTACGGCTCTGCGATCAGATGGGGTGGGGACCCTGCGGGCTCGTGTCGCTCCGGGCAGTGTCCGTTTTCGTCTCCCATCCCGGACCTTTGGGGGAGCTGGCCGGTGGGTGCTGGAGACAAAGGCTTCCAGGACGCAGCTCCTCCCTCGTGGCCCAGTCCTGCGCTCCAGACTTTGCACCGGTGCCGGTGGTGACCGGGTGATGGCTTGCGGGGTACAGGGTTTTGGGACCCTTATTTGGCAAGACCCAAACTTGGGGGAATGACCAAATATGGAGTGCGCGCGCGCCTGCAGGAGGAGGAAGGAACCCAGGCAGCCTTTGACCCTCCAGCTGTTCCTGAGAGCCGGGAGCGCTGGAGAAGTGCTCGCCCCAGTGTGGAAAGTTGGCTTCTGATTTCCAGGGACCGCACTTTCCCTGGACATTTTGAACACGTCCACGCATTGCCTCCAAGCTTTAAAAAAAAAAAAAAAGCAAATATGAGAGGGTCCTGGAATACCTTCTTAAGTGTGCATTGATAGGGCAGATCAGCACACGCTGCAGCACCCCCTCCTCCCCGTCCGCCCTTTTTGTGGTTCCCACGCACACAGCCTAATTAGTTTCTGTCACAGTTGGAAGGCCCGACTAGCATCTGCTTCCGTCTTCCTTTCTTCGTGCTCCAGCCTCTCACCTACAGGCTCTTTCTTTCTCTGTTCTTGCACTGCCTGTGGCCCTTTGGCATTGTTCATCTTGTTCGCTGTGGTACCAGGCTTCTGTCCTTATAAAATGCCCCGGGTCTCCCTAGGATTGTGTAACAATGAGATTTTTTTTCCCTTTGTGTCTCTCTCCACCTTAAATAATAAAAGAAATGAATAAAACATGCTAAATTATGTATGCCAGCAGTAGTTTGTAAACCTGCTATTTTCCTATTTATAAGGGTCTACGCAGGGAGTCTTTCTTGCCTTGGAAGGGATCTGCCTTAGTAAGTACTCGGCATGTAATATTTCAGTACAAATACACTGTTATATTTAGTGCCTTTGCATAATAGCAAATGAACAAGAGGAAGAGGGGGAAGAAGAGCCAGAATGATGTGTTAGAAACAGCATTTTGCTAGTTCCGTTATCTATAAGTGGGATAAATAATAGTGCTTTGCAAGGTTTATGTTTGCAAAGTTAACATAAAGCATTCAACATGTAATTATAAAGAAATACTAGTTGCCTTCCCTTCTTTTAAGTGCATACACGTACATCTGCTTAATATAGTGCAGTATGCATGTTTTATCTAACAGAGGGATTTCTTCTTTGATTCTCATTATTACATGAGACCAAATTCTGAAGTGTGTTGCTGGTGGCGGTCAGAAGTGGGGAATGGTGTTGAAGACATAAATTAACAAGGTGGAGAAATAGAATCTGAGAATTGGAGATGTCCTTAATCTTGGGCACCTCATTTTCTCTTTTGTCCAGTGCAGGCTAGTTTTCTCATCACCCCTCACCGATCCCTACTGCTTCTGTATTACTGCTTCCAGGAGCAGGATAAACTGTGTTCATTGTTCTGAAGTGTGGGTTATTAGAGAATTTTTTTATATGACTCCCCAATCCGCCTTGTGGTTATCTGCATCCATCCTACCTCATAGACCAATACAAAATAAGGCTATTCATATAAGAATGTATAAAGAACTTTGGTTTAAAAAAAAAAGTAGCAGCAACTCTTCTCTAAGTTAACTTAATGAGTCTGTGTTCTTCACAGTGCAAGAAATAGAAACTCAGACAAACCAGTGCAGGCAAAACCAAGAAAGATATCATTATTTCATACACTGGAAAGTCCAGGATCTTGGACTGGCTCAGTCACAGGTATGTGACTTGAGTTTCTTTGCATTTGCTTTATTCCTGGCAGGTTTTTCATACATGGTGACCATTTATTTCAGGACTGCAAACCTATATTTTACAACCCAGTGGAAGGGCAATGTTTTACTAAATAGTTCTAGCAGAATCTTAGGGCTGAAGTGGATTGCTCTAAATAGGATCACCTAGCTAAAGCCTCAGACCAATCATTTTGGTCCTGAATCACTTTGAAGCCTAGGGTGAGGCTCTACCCAAGGTACCTGGGTCTAGAAGAAGGAAGAAAATGCTCTATCCAAATAAAAATTAGAGTGTTCATGCCAGAGTGGGGAATGGGTACTAGACAGGTGAAAACAACAGCTCTCTCCCAGCTGTTTGTGAGTCTGAGGCCAGAGGATCAAGAGTTTGACACCAGCCTGGAAAACATAGTGAGTTCCAGGCCAGTCTGGCCAATTTAGCAAGACTTTGTCTTAAAATAAAAAATAAAATAAGCAAAATAAAAGAAGGGCTGGGGATGTAGCTCAGTGGTTGAGCGCTTGCCTGACATGTACAAGCCCTGGGTTCACTCTGCAGTACTGAAAACAAAACAAACCAAAAAATGAAACATCCACAGCTGTCGACCACTCTGACATTAACAGGTTTTTCTTACCATTATTCTTAAGGCATGGTATTCTTCAGCTTAGTGACTGTGTACTTTGTGTATATTCTAGGTTTTTAGTGTCTCTTTTAAATTATTTCTGGAAATACATACAGTGTTATAGATATGATTTCACCAATGCAAAGTCCTCAATATTGGATACTTTAATTTTTTATAATAAGTTTCATGTAGCTGCATTTAATTACATTGTAATGCAAGCTCCTTAAATTATAATATTCATACAAATAATGTAGCAGGTGGTAGTATCACTTTCAATTATTACTGGTAGAAAATCTGGTGTCTCAAGCAATATCACTTAAGCAGGTGGTATATAGTTAGAGATGTCATTCTTATTTTTGAAAACTATCAGGAATTAGTTATAATCCATCTGGATAAAGTTGTTCCTTCCAGATTGTCACCTTAAAGAAAACTGTACATACAACCCCACTTTTAATTCCCTATTCAACTTATGATTTGAAAATAGATTGAGGGGCTGGGATGTAGCTCGGTGGTACAGTGCTTGGCTAGCGTGTACGAGGCCCTGGGTTCAATCCCAGCACCAAAAAAAAGAAAAAAAGAAAGAAAGAAAATAGATTGAATTGATGCACATTCTACCCTGTTGCTTCTACATTTGGATACTCCCACAGGTGTAGTTCCATTCCCTTTGTTTGTTCTTTAAAGTCCTTGAAAGCAATAAATATTTAATGTTTAAATATTTAAGCTTTACTGTTGGTGCCAGACATGTTGAGTAGGGAGCATTTCAATCAGATCCGTGCAGAGAGATGCTTATTTTTTAGTAGTGAAAGCTGAGAAATCAGTAATTCCGGTGCAGTGAAATTAAGAGGGGTACACTGTGCTATGGGAACACACAATAGGGGAGCTGTCCTATTCCTGGGCTTTAGGGAGTGCTTTCTGGAGGAAGTTACATTTTAACTGAGACTGGATGTATGAGTTAACTGCAAGAAAGGAACAGCAGTAGTCTAGGCCAAAGAAACAGAATGGGTGAAGGCTGGGGATGAGAGCCAGAGGGTTTGAGGAACTTGCAGCCTAGAGGTTAAGGGTGTAGATCAGAAGAGGCTGCAAGTGTGCTTAGCACCCAGGAGATGGAGGATTTAGGAAGCCAAGATGTCAGCTCCTTTTATTTCTGGAACCTTCCTCATCCAAAGATGAATGGTGTTTACCACAAGGGTAGCACTGCAGGCAGATTTACTGGACGCTGCCCAGAGAAATCCACAATGCTCTTATATGTGACCCAGAAGTTACCATTGCACTGACCCGAGGGTATGAAAATGGCCTTGGTATTGACCTGCCTCCCCCATTGGACCATAGGTTCCTGAGGGGCAGGGAGTATGATAGTCTGTCTTGGCATCCCCAGCCAAGTTCAATGTCTGCCTCAAGTGTGCTATGTATTTTCTCCTTGGCCTACATAATTTTGCATATGTTCTTCCCTGTGCATAGAACACCCTTTCCCACTTGTCTTCTTTGTCCATTCCTCCCTTGTGCCCTCCACAAAGCCTTCTGTAGCTTCCTATAGAGCCTTGGACATTATATCAGCGAGTGCTTGTCACATTGCTATTGGTTCGAAGCCTTTCTCTGTCCTGAGCCTGGATCCTATGTTACTTGCCTTTGGTAGTTTTGGTTCCTAATGGGGCACTGTGGAGAGAACCTGCTTAGAGTAACAGCCATGCCAGAAGAATGGCCGCCTTCTCCTCAGAAGCCTGAGGAGCCCAGGTGGGGGCTGCTGACAGAAGGGTTATATAGGTAGGGGGAAGATGGGGATCCTACTGCCATACACATCACAAAAGTGATTTTAGGAAAGGGATGTGCAAAAAGGAAGCTACATGCAAAAATGAAAGGACTGTTCATTTCTATGTGCTTGAGGGACTATGAAGATGGAATAATACAGATTTCCTTTTTCTCTTTCAGGGAGCAATGAATGTGGATCATGAGGTTAACCTCTTAGTAGAGGAAATTCATCGTTTGGGTTCCAAAAGTAAGTGTCTGAACAGGTAGAGTATTTCTTTTGCATTTACCTCAACACAGGCAGTACCAGCATTCTGGAGAAGCCTATGACGGGGCCACCTGAGGTCTCCAGGACAGTTTCAGCCGCTGGGCTCACAGCCCCAGGTGGTAACTACCCTTAGCTACAGGGATGTCTGAGATGCAGGATGACTGGGGCATGAGGTTTCTGAGGTAGAGAATAGATGAAATGTTTCATTATTCTATGAATTGAAAGAAGATTGCTGGGCTTTCATCCAGTTGCATTAAAATCTGATAATTGAAACAAGTTTTTATTTGTCGCACTATTAAAATCCATATTTTCTTCTTTGTCCTGCCACAATTTTACAATCTTTCAAATGACTAGGGACTTCGAAATTATACCAAATTGTCGTTATTTTATCTAAATTCTTGAGGTTTTGTACAATTATGAACATATAACTAAAATAAAACAAGCCATCTTTTAGGTATTTTTCTTTAAACTCATCTTTTTGTTGAACAGCTAGGCAGCTATTGTGAAGGTAGTGGAGTAAAATTGGTAGTATTGGCATCTTTCCTAAGTTGTAATGAGAGTTACTATGTACTTGTAGCTTTAGGTACTTGGTACATCTCAGATGAGATATGCAAGAATTTGGGGAACATTTTTGAAAATTTTAAGAACAGCAGACATAGTCAGCAACAAGTAGGATAATGGAACTCAAAGCTTTAAAATTATACAAGTGAAAAACAGCCATAGAAATATAAAAGTTTTTTGGTTGCTAGCATGGTAACTCACATTGGTAATCCCAGCACTCAGAAGCCAGAGACAGGAAGATCAAGAGTTCCATGCCAGCCTGGGCTACACAGCAAGACTGTCTCAAAGAACAAAAACAAAAATAACCTACCCAACCCCCCCTCACAACCCCAAAACAAAGCAAAACCAAGCGAGCAAAAAGAGTTGTTTTGTTATTCTAGCTTAATTCTTCTTATGTGTAAACCACAAATCCTTTAAAACAACAGGACACACTTTGAATCTTCTGTTAAGCCATTCAGTGCTAATGTCTCCTGCATCAGTTTCCTATTCTTGCTGCAACAGAATATTAGAAACGTAGTCATTTAAATCAATGCATTTAATATCTTCATACATGTCCTGTCTTCTGTAGGTGAGGAGTCGTTGGCTAAGGGCGTTGCAGGCTTCATTCCTTTCTGCAGGTCTTTGGGAGAGAATCTAATTCCTTACCTTTTCCAGTTTCTGGAGGCTGCCTGCATTCTTTAACTCCTGGCCCCATCTCACAGTCTTCAAAGCCAGCAAGAGCTGGTGGAGTCCTCACATTGCATTACTCCGGCCTCCTCTTCTACCATTTCTTCCATTTTTTTTTTTTTGAAAGCAGAAAAATAATTTCTTCCAAAAGATGGCAGAAGACTTCATTCTGAAACTGCAGTGGGGTATAAATTTGCTGGGACAGATCTCTGTGAGCATACTCTCTTGACTGTCCCACTGGAGTTTTACTCTGTCTTCTTTTTCTTTTCCTCCCTTCCTTCCTCCTTCCTTCCTCCCTTCCACCCTCCCTCCCTTCCACCCTCCCTCCCTCCCTCCTTCCCTCCCTCCCTCCTTCCCTCCCTCCCTCCTTCCCTCCCTCCCTTTCCTCTTTCCTTCCTTTCTTCCTTCCTTCCTCTTTTCCTTCTTCCCTCCCTCCTTCCCTCCTACCCTTCCTTCCTTCTTTCCTCCTTTCCTTCCTTCCTTCCTTCCTTCCTTCCCTCCTCTCTCTCCCTTTTTTTTTTTTTTCTGTTTTGTATTCTGGGGATGGAACCTGTGACCTCACACGTGCTAAGCAAGTCACCTCCAACTCCAACTCCTTTCTTGGTCTCCTCTAGTCACTTTATTTCGACATCAAATCTAAGTCTACATTACCAACACATACCAACAAAAGATAAAAGAAGCTTATTAAAGTGCTATGGATGCCAGATGCTGGTGACTCACAGTAATCCTAGCTCCTTGAGAGTCTGAGATTGGGAAGATAAAGTTCGAGGTCAGCCTGGGCAAATAGTTTGAGAGCCCTCCATCTCCAAAATAACTAGAGCAAAGTGGACTGGAGATATGGCTCAAGTGGTGCAGCACCTGCTTTGCAAGAGTGAAGCCCTGGCTATTCAGGAGGCAGAGAACAGGAGGATTTCGGTTTGAAGCTAGCCACAGGCAAATAGTTCGAGACCTATTTCAAAAGACCCATCACAGAAAAGGGCTGGTGGAGTGGCTCAAGTGGTAAGAGTGCCTGCCTATCAAGTGTGAAGCCCTGAGTTCAAACCCCAGTGCTGCCAAAAGAAAAAAAAAAGTGTGATGTAGCAATCAAGTGAGTTTGATGATGTTGCCAGTTACTATTTGTTGAGCGTCCGCATATGCCAAGCCTTATGTAATTACAAGCATCCTCAAGCATCTTACTACTTAGTTGACGAAAACTCACAAGGCAATTTTCAGTAAAAGATGCTGTATTATACTGTGAAGTTCTGGCATTCAGTTCACTATGGTCCCAGGAAAACAGATTATTGGGAGCTAGAGAGGTTGGGGTAGGACTTTGAAGTGTAGAGCAGATCAGTTAAGGAGAAGCATGAATTGAATTTGGAAGGAGAATGCATTTGATGCTTGTAGAGAACACTGAAAAGACATGGGAGAGTGAAATTTATTTAGTTCTCCAGTCAAATGGATGAACTATATTTCCTAGCTCCATTTTTCTCCCCTCCCCCATCACCATACCCACTTGAAGGAAGTTTGGTAACTAGGATGCCCCTACTTTTGTTCCTGCCCTGTATCCCCAGTGTTTCCTGAGCTCAAGGATATCATGCTACTTGGGAGTAGTACTATTATTTAGATTGTTAAAGGCATGTTTCCAAAGATTTGTTGGGTTTCCTTCTTATCTATGTCAGCCTGGTGTTCATTGGTTAGATTCAACTGGTTTTAAAATTCTAACCTATATACCCCTGGAAGAATGTCTATATTCTACTATGGCAAATTGAAACTCCACTTCAAATTGAGCAGTTTTACAAATTAGAAGACTTGAGATAATTATCATAACTTCCATATGCATGAAAATACTTTAAAATTTGCAGCTTCACCAGGACACATTGACTTTCTTGTTCTTGGTAAAACATCACTTATTGAGTTGGAGAGCCTATATGGAGATGTGCCATCTTTGGACATAGTATGGTTAATTGTTTAAGGTGTGTCTGGAGTATTTTTGACTGATCTACATATGATGTATGACTTCCAGCTGGAAATTAATGAAGGAAATTTTATGTTTCTTTTAAAGTCAAATCTTTAAAGTCTCATTTTTCATCCAGTTAGAAAAGATTAAGTGGAGAATGGTTATTTGGACATTTAGACTCTTTTATCCAACATGTTTCTTGAGTGTCTCCTTTGTGCTAAAGTAAAGGAGATGCAGAAAAAACTTCCATCTCAGCTCTTGAGGTTTTCTCTAGGTAGCTGGAATTGAGAAGTGGCTGAGAGTATGGACTCAGTGAAGCATAGTGGCACATACCTGTAATCCCAGCACTCGAGGCAGAGGCAGAAGAATTGAGAATTCAAGGCCAGCCTAGGCTACATAACAAGTTCTAGGCAGCCTGGGGAATACAGAGTGAGACCCTGTCTCAAAAAGATGAGAAGTATGGACTCTAGTGTCAGACTCTCTGGTAATGAATCGTATCTCCTCTGCATAGTTGATGTGCGATCTTGGATACATTTTTAAACTCTTTTGTTTGTTGGTTTCCTTATTTGTATAATAATACTCTATCATCAATTCAAAGACAAATTTTTACTTGTTAAAATGTCTGAAATGAGAATGCATTTTAATACATGGTGTACTGTAGTTAAATTGGCAGTTTGATTAGAATATAAAATAATGGTGCTTCTTGCAATCAGTGGTGTCTTCTCTTCCATGAAATGAGGATTGAGTGAATTTTAATGACTGTAAAATGCATCAAACCATTCTAGGAACATAGCAAGTACTCAATAAATGTTAGCTATTATTAACATAATTAATGGAGAGTGCTTTGATAGACATACTCAAATTTTTTAGAAAGAGATATTAACTCAACTGAGGTAATCATGGAGGACATCTCTGGGAAGTTAATATTTGAGCCTGTTCTTAAAGCAAAAGAATTTAGCTAGGGAAAGGATGCTAGTCATATGACTTAATGTAGACGAAATTGCAAAAGCACGATCTCTCGTGGCACTCTGGGTAGCAGCAGAAAGTTCATTATGACTGGACAAAAGGTGGATGGAGTGATATGGCCGAAAACCAGGCAAGTGATAGATGTGTGATCAGGGGATGAGGAAACTTATCTGTGAGGCCAGGAGCTGCACTTTATGTTGAAGATGATTGGGCTCCATTGAAAAACTAGAGAAGAAGAGTATCAGTCAAATTTGAATCTCATAAAATTTCTTTTACATTTTTTCTTCCATACCAATGTGGATGATGCATTGGGGAACCAAAATGGGGGAAGGGAGACTGGTCAGGTGTTATCAGTCACCAGGTGAGAAACAATTAGGGCCTCAACTCAGGAATTAACCATCAATGGAAAGGAGAGGCGAGAGCTACAAAAGACACTTGGACATTTGTCAGGTAGAGGAATGAGGGGACCAGAGTGCTCTGAGGTTATATTCAGGTTTCTGCCTTTAAAATTGTTAACCTAAATTGAAAATTTGCCATGTGCTGGGCACTCTATAAACATCTTTACCTATATTATACCTATTCATCATCACAACAGCTTGGTCAGGGGTATTTTTACCTTCATTTGAAGAGTGAGGTAACTGAAGCCCAGAGAGGGATTGCAGGACCTGTGTGAGGTTTACCCAGTCACTCCACTTGTATCTGTGACCAGTAACAGATTCTCATTTTCCCAGCAGATCCACTTTTTGTCTATCTTAATTTTCAACGTCTATTAAAAATTGGCCTTCAGACAAGATAACCTCTTGTACATACAAATTTCCGGGCCTACCACCAGGAAATGAGGTTCAGTGGTCATGATGGATGATGGCTGAGGAATATGCATTTTTTTAAACTCCCACCCTGGGGATTCTGAGCTTGTTCAGAACACACTTAGAGAAACATTGCTCTTGATCCTAAATTTCCCTTTCATCTGTTGTCTTTATTGATTTAACAGCTAACATAATTTAATGTATCAAAATTGAGAGAAATTCACCTATAACCTTATCACTACCACATTTTTATCTGTTAAAAATGTTTCTTGGTTTTTTTTCATTCTTTGTCTAGATGATTCTAAGGCCAGAAAGCCTCATGTATACAACACGCTGCATTTATTGTATCACTTGGATCTAGGAAGAGGTTATTTTAACTTATGATTAAATGTTAAATTGTAATATTGCTTAGTTTGTAACTAGATACTTCTTGAAGATTTTGCAAGTTTGCTATATATGGAACAAGAAACAGACTTTGTATTTGCTGACATTGTTTTTTCTCAATTTAGATGCTGATGGAAAGTTAAGTGTGAAATTTGGGGTCCTTTTCCGAGATGACAAATGTGCCAACCTCTTTGAAGCGCTGGTAGGAACTCTCAAAGCTGCTAAACGAAGGAAGATTGTCACATACTCTGGAGAGCTACTTTTGCAAGGTGTTCATGATCATGTCGACATTGTACTGCTGCAAGATTAATGTGGCTCCCGTACCTTTGTGTATTGCTAACTTTTTTGTTTCTGGCAACTGGAACATTAAGTCGAAGGACAAACATGAGGTTACTTAGTGTATTTTTATAGAACTTTGTAAACAAAAGGAGACTCAGATTTTAGAAGTCTGTCTGTTTATATATCTTGAAAGCAGATGTATGTATTACACTGTAAAATAAACAAAACCTATTTTTCTCAGCAATGTAGGTGGGAGATTTGGCAATCAGGCATTTTTGGGAGGGGTTAAGTGACTATTTGGTTCATAAATGATTCTTAGACAATTTCTACAGATACTTGACGTTCTGTCAAAGCAAGAAACAAACTGAGGAGCAGCCACCACAAGGAATGTTACAATGTTTGTATAATAAAAACATGGAACTGTCTTAAAAATCTCCTTATTACCTTATTTTGTTATTTAAGTATTTATGTGCCTCTCAGAATTGACTTTTAGCATGAAGATTAGGTAAATATAGTAAAAGTTACCTTGATTTGGTAACTTAAAGCTACAGAATTGGAAAACATGTGTTAATGTTAGATCCTATTGAAATAAATATTGTGGCTCAGGGCTTGGCTCAAGTGGTAGAGCATCTGCCTAGCAAGCATGAGGCTCTGGGTTCAGATCCCAGTACTGCCAAAAAATTATTTTGATGTCAGTGTATAGGGGCATGATAAAACATTTAACATAAAAACTTTCAGTTTGCAGTTGGATTAGTTAGCTCTCCTAAAGGCAACGTGGGTCTGTCTATGATTGCAGCTGATAGTGCACAATCGAAAATGATGGGAGATATCAAAGACGGGAAATTAGTGAAAGGCACAGTGTCCAGAGCTTGCATTATAGAGGAGGTAGAACTTGTGTCAAGGAATGATTGAAACTGATTATCTAGCTTGAACTCTCTAGAGTGAATGGGGTGATGTCCAAAGGAAAGGTAAAGGGACATGTACTAGCAAGGGAGGATCTTGTGAAAGGTCAGGTATGAGGCTAACCAGAATATTAAGGGAGATGATTCTGACTGGATAATTAAGGTAGAAATTCAGAAGCCAGGGAGAGGATTCTGAGCAGAGTTTGGAGCAAGGAAGTTCCATGATGAAAGTGATGTTTAGAGCAGGTGGTTGGTACTGGTGAGTCTGGTGGATTCCAGGGTAAAGAAGTAGCAGACAAGCCAGATAAGATATTGTGCAACAATTCAGCAGGGATGGGGATGATAAAAGGAAAAGGAAAGATGAACTCCAAGCACATTTTAAAGAAAATTTAGACCCTCTCAGCAGTGCTCTTTCTGTTGTAAGTGACAGGACCCCAATTTAAACTAGACCAAAAGACAATAATTCATGGACACCTAATGGTTATTGCTAATGTTTATTGAGTATTTGCAGTGCTAAACCTAATGCAAACCTGGGAAGTAAGTTCTGATACTATCTCCCATTTTATAGATGAGACATGTGAGGGACAAAAAAGTAGTTTGTCCAAATTTATCTGGGTAGACAGTGGAAGAGTCAGGGATTTGAAATTTAAGTCTTCTAACTGGTAAGCCTAGGGAGAGACAGACTTCAAGCATGGATGTGCTAGGGACTCAAACAACACTATCAAAACTGTTCATATTAGTTCTGATCACCTCTGGCTTAATCTCACTCTTCTACATTAAGCATCCTTCTTGCATATAGCTGGGAAGACACCTTCTGGTAGTTATAAATTCACTCATTCCTAGAGTAGCAATACTAATAGAGAAAGGATCTATGATAATATTTAATTATGAATTCTAAGAAGTGTTTTGATTGACCCCACCTACATCTTTGGCCAATAACTTTTGCCAGGGGGATGACACACTGAGTGACTGGCTCCAAGTTTCTCAGAGGGAATGTAGTGAGATACAGTCTCACCTCAAACAAAAGAGTGGTAGTTCTCCAAGGAAAGCATGCACTGTATGAGAGCAACATAGGTTCACTGTAGAAACAAGTTCTGTGATTGTTCTATGGATATTATGTTCTGTGTTCCATGGATAAATCCATAAAAAGGAATTAACAAAAGCCACCACCATATGTGGCCCGGTGACTGAGAAAATGATGTACAATTAACAGGATAACTGAGTAAAGCAAACAGGACAGTTTTAGGGAGTTTCATTTGGGCATGGCCATCTCGAGATGGTGAGGTAGAAATGTGGGGTAAACAGGTGATGCTTTGGTTCTGGAACCAAGTGAAGGTTCATAAGTGTGGACAGAGTCTTAAGAATTATGGTTCAAGATTTTTATCTCAATTTTAACTTGTATGGATAATCCCAATTCTGTCCCACTTATTACCATTACATTGAAATTTTAGTTATTTACAACTTAGAAAACACAAAAAAATGTGCTATCTATGGGCTTTGTAAACCCCTGGGTGAGAAATGAAGTGACCTTCAGAAGAAAGCAATCTGGGGAGCCCCAATATGTTTGACCTTATAATTGCAGAGACTTCCTTTAAAAAGGCCTACAGAAGTTGGAACAGTTACTCAATTTGTCACTACTACTTATTTAGTATTTTCTTGATGAGCATCTGATGGATTTTCAAAATTTCAAAGCTTTGATGATTTAACATTTAATAAATGTCTTTCAGAAAAATGTATATCCATGTGATTGTTTAGTTGTTTTAAGGAAATTGACAGAGTAAAATTTCTGTCTACCACTGATATCCATAATACAGTTTTATGTATTTCCCTTTAGCTTTAAAATGGTCATTTCTTTTGGAATACCTTCGTATATGGATAGTTTTCTTATTTAGATCATGGTCATAAAATTCAAAATCATGGATTTAATTTCTTTTGAGACAGATTCACAGTGAGAATAATCTTTCTTGGCCATAAACTGCGCTCCAGTTAATCATCTCAGTAATGAGTGCCATTGGCTATAGCCAGGTGGGAATTAGAAATTACAAACAGTTTTGGTTGAAGATACAGCTCTGGGAGGGCTTTTGCCTGCTAGGCACAAGGCCCTGAGTTTGATTCCCATCACTGCAAAACAAAAGCAAAAACAAACCCGGTTGTAGGCAACATGCCTTTATTTATGCAATGAAAATTTATGGCAACTACTGTTTTTGAGTCACTGTGGTAGGCATTAAGAAATATCTCCACAAAGCAAAATAAGAATAAATAAAATTTGGTTTCAGTCCTCATAAGAAAACCATTTGCATAGTATATATTGACTAGTACAGAAGTAGTTTTGGGTGAATGATCGAAGTCATACAGGAGCAAAGATGATTAATTATTCCTGGGTGGACCTGGGGACTTTCACAGATTAAATGAAGTTTGCAATAGCATAACAGGGAAGAGCTTTACTACTAACTTTGGCAGTTAGTTGGTACCACTTGCAAAGGCAGAAAAAAGCAAGTAACTTGAGGCAAGGAAAGGAAGAATACTGACAGCTGCACTGGACAGGAAAGTTGGGACATTATTTTGAATCTTTGAGAGAAGAAACAAGTCTAAGTGTATGTCTTAATGGAAAATTACAAAGGACTGTTAGAAAATAATTTGATAACTATTGCTAATTATATAGTAATCTAATTTTCAAGTTCTATGGCAGTTTATTTTGTGTGTTGAAATTACATGACAACTTGTAATTATAGCTTATTATTTTCATAGTACTTGACTGTTTAATTGAATATTGATTAAGGGTAATACTTTTGCATATTCAAATTTCCTTCACTTCCCATCATGGAAGGTCTAGGAACTAGGAATCATAATTTAAAAACAAGTTATATAAATGCTGATTTGAGGGATTTGTTTTCACTGAACACTTACATCTCAAATTTCCCAGGTGTCTGAGCTATTTCCCTTGATTCCAGACAAGATGCAAAATGCTCATGAACTGACAGACAAAATATAAACCCATATGATAAAGAAACAAACTGGTTTCTCTGTATGTCATGAGCCATTGGGCTCAGTAATTGATAGTCTTGTGTATTGAGAAATCCATGTACCTTTATTTATACACAAACAATCCTTGGATTTCCTCTTCCTTAAAAAAAAATGTTATAAATAACCCTTCAAAGAAAACCAACTCCTCAGGAGCCTTTTATGGTGAGAAATCAGAAACAACCCTACTTTTCTGGAAAATGACTTCATGTGAACACCTACCCCCTACAGTTTTTGTTATCTTTAGGAGCCTCAACAAAAAGGTTGATTCCCTGCCCCTGTGGTTCTCCTTTTAGTAACTGCTTAAGTTAAGTTCTCTTGCCTAGAAGGAATGGAAACTCACTTAGCTAGGTAAAGGGGATTAATTGCCAACGTGTGTACGGTGCAGTTGGGAAGATAGCAGGCTCCAGTGAAATGCAAGAGAAGGAAGTGTACCGTGGTGGGCAGCTGGAGATGAAGAGCTCCTAACCAGATGCTTTTGTTGCTTTTTCAACATCTACATAGTGTGGAGATTCTGATTCAGTACACAAGAAAGTGTCTCCCAAGGCTGATTCTGATTGGCTGCTTTGAAGAAGAGCCACCCTTCTGCACTGGGGCTTCGGGGAACAACCCGCTGTTCTCATAGGTGCAGTCTTTCTCCTTGCTGTGCCTTGTGGTTCTAAGTAGCTTCCCATCCTGCATCTTTTCTCTACTCTTTGCTTCTGCTTAGCCTTATTTTCATTTCTTCATGTCAGTTCTTGCTGCTAGCATCTCATATGCTGTATGCTTCGATGTCTGAGTTCAAATACCCAAGAAAAGTATTGGTCAATAGGCACAAAATTACAGCTAGATGGGAAGGATAAGTTATGATGCTTCTATAACACAGTGGAATGAGTATGGCTAACATAGTCAAAGAACCTTAAAATCACTAGAAGGATTTTGAATGTTCTCACCACAAAGAAATGATAAATGTTTGAGACGGTGGGATGTGTTAAATATCTTGTATATTTGTATCAAAACTTTACATTGTACCCCTTAAATATGTACAATTATTATGTCAATTAAAAACAAACTAAAACCCCAAACAAAACTAATTTTGGTAGAAGAAGTCTGAGTGCCAGGCCAACTGATTGGTCATGGGCCAGCCAAGGGTTGATTGAATCAGCTGCCTTACCCTGATCCTATCAGTTATAGATGAGGGTCAAGGGAGGGCTGGAGGTCAGGCATAGGAAACATAGTGTGGCTATGGATTGGCAGGCAGTGGTGGAATAAGCCCTTTCACAGAGATGCTCTGTGATGCTTGACAGGGTATGAAGACAGTAACTTTTAATTTGGAGGATATGCCACCCCTGTTCAACACAAAAATACCATCCCCCTCAAGTGTCAATTGTACTTTCTGTATCCATGATTAAGAAAATATACAATATAGCTGGGTGCTGGTGGCTCATGCCTGTAATCCTAGCTACTCAGGAGGATCCAGGTTCAAAGCTAGCCCTGGGCAAATAGTTTGTGAAACC